TTCCTTAGGCTAGATAAAATGTACTGAAAGGAAAGTCAGAGAAGAATCTGTGTATGTAAAGACATTGTCTGACTCTACCTCTTCTGGAATGCAAGTGCTTAGCTGTGATTAGAAGTAGTGTCAATGAAATATGAATGTATTGTAACGTTCCTGACCATATTATACTATATCTACATGGTATTTCCAGTAACCCCTCCATATCTGAGTCTGAGAGAAATTATAACATATATGAGGATAAGGAAAGCGCTTGTACTGTGCCCTCTGTATAATAGTAATATCCCTGGTACAGCTTGTACAGTAAGGTGACATTGTCATTAGACTCTTTCTCTGTAAGTCAGTTGGCACTTCACAAACTAAACGTTGTATCAAAGCACAATGTAATTCTTACCTGGCATGTTCTTACTTTTGGAGGGAGGAGTAGTGATCTATTGCAGACACGATCAAAATGACTATAAATACAGTACTAATATCGCTAATATTTGCTTGATAGTACAAGATAGTACAGAACCCATCACCTAAGAGTAATGAAGTACTGACAAAACTTAGTATCAGAACCTCCAGCCAGAGAGAGTGAACTTTCCATAATCGGTGTGGAAAGTCAACAGCCGGCCAGATTCTTAAATTCCACCACATCACACAATAAAAGAGTACCAGGGCTGTAAGTTAGAAGGCAAGAGTGCTGACTCCTTTCTGAGATCGAGAGGACGCTTCCAAAAGCCAACCTGAAAAAAGACAGCCCTGTTTCTTATTTCTGTGCTGTGTAAGTACTTGAAATACTTTCAAAACCTCTCCTGCTTGGTTTTGCGTGGTAGAAAAGGTACGGTACTTTGATAGTTCTCTCTCTCTTGCCTTTCTCACCTGAGAGTTTTCTCTTTTTCGCCTGGAATGAGGCATCAATGAAGAATATGTTTGCAGAGGTGTGAGATTTCCTATACAGCTTCAAGACAAAAGGAGTTTTGCTGTGCGTTGGCACAGTGAGCTGAGCCAGTGACTACATAGACTTTTGCAGTGCTACTTTTTCTGCTGGAAGCTCTCAGAGCATTTCACAAATACTAATGACTGAAACGTCTCAAAGCATTAGTGGCATTCCTAGCTTTGTTATATAGAGAGAAAAAAGAGATGCGGTGAGCGTGACTGACTCCTCCAATGACACAAATCAATCCCAAAGACCTTAGTTCCCAGTCCTGCAGACACATAGGTAGAAGCCTAATTTTTTCAGAGGAGCAGTCCCATCGAACTGAAAAGGTCATGCATGTGAGTAAAATTAAACATGTACATTTTTGAGAGACTAATCCTTATTTTAACCATTGGCTTCTGTTTGTTCCCTCATGAACTGCTTTACCAGAAAACTCAGAAATCTGTTTTAATGGCTTTAAAATCACTTAATTTGCCCAATTTACAGAGTTGAATTTAGTATAGGTTGTATTTCATTTAGCTCTGCCTTTGTGTCACCTGTGTTTTCTCTGAGGTGTTGACCATTTAATATGTGTGAAGCTGGAATTCTAAAAGGCACGGTGTGATCTTTTAACCTTTAACCAGCTTAGCCTTTCAAGGAACCCCTTGCAGTTTTAACTGACTATGATATTATCTAAAAACATTTGTTCTTCAAATACTGATGTTCTTCACAAAGTGGAATAATATTTAATTATTTTTAGTGTATAAAGTAATAAATGACCTTGTAAATGAAAATCGAATGCAGGGACGAGTACTCCAAATGTTTGCTGACTATAGAACGAAGGCCATGCTCTGGTGAAACGTTCCTTATTTATATGGACTGATTTTCAAAGCACGTTTGTTCTATTTGTTAGTCTTAACAGTAACATGTCCACGCATTAGGTAGTTATTTTTTCTGAAAAATGAGCTCCTTGAGATGACTAACGCACTAACTTTTGTTTAAGCATCGTTTTATGCTTGATCTGGAAAAGAAAACCCTAATAAAACTTTTCAATGACTTTTACCCAGAGCTACAATGCAGTAGCTAGCAATTGCAAAGGCGTTCGTTTAGTATATGAAATAAGAACTGATAAGAATCCATACCGAAAAAGTGGTCTTATTCTTAGCTTAATCTGTGTTTTTGCAAAAGTAAAATTAGTAGTGTAGAAGAGACAGCAAATCATTGTTCACGAATGTAATTTTGCTTTCCTTGGTAGTAAATTGCAGTCATGCTAGGAAACAGTTTCCTCCTTTGACCATACTATATTCAGATAGAACGATATATACTGGGTATAGTATGTGGTAAATTCATGAGGTACTAACCATCAGATAATACAGCACTGTGGAAAGGCGTATTCATGCCCAGGTTAAGGCAGGTAGTACGGGGAGACATAGCGAGAAGCTAGCGGTTCCAGACCTTTTTAAAAAGAATACAAACAAATCAGTGCATTCTTAGGGGGCGAATGAGCACTGGCTTTACTGTATTTATTCCAAAATAATCAGACATCTTTTGCGTGTAGAAGTACATGCTAGACAAGAGATTCAGTGTTTGCGTTAGACTTCACATACAAGCTTCACATTTTAGGCAGACTGTTGCTCTGAATTGACTTAACAGTCTAATGGGCAAATATCAAACTGAAGGATCCAATAAAAAGTATGTTCGCATCAGGACCCCAGGGGAAGGCTTCTAAATAACAGTAAGAAAAACAGGAACTCTGCATTCTGAAAAAACTTGCTTCTTCCTTGAAGCAAAAAACAAGAAAGGTGACCAGAGCTGTTCTCAGATGAGAAGTGCCATGTTACTAGAATTCCTTTTCATAGGAACTGACCACTTTTTGGTCTCCTTTGGTGTGTGAAGAAGTCCTGAAAGATTTTCGATTAATAAAAAGACGTATTTATTTGCTTATTTTGCTAGATCAGAAATGATTAGTTTTAGTTTTGCTTGAGGACCTTAGGAAGGCCTCAGGGATATTAATTATGTAAGCCTTGAAAGCTAGTGCAGATGTGTGTATGGTGAACCTTAACCAACTGTATTATCCTTCTACGTTTTATTTGGTTATTGGAGTTTTGTAATTTGTCATGAAAAGAAGCAAAATCCAAGTAAATTTAAACAGTGTGATTCAAATGTGTTTCTTCTCCCAAGTCCCCTGTTTAACCCTGTGTTGTGTCACCAGTTCTCCAATGCAAGGCTTTCAAGCCTGAAGAAGACTTGAATTGCTAATCTGAAGGCTAGCCAAAAACAAACTTTCCGGGTTTTCAGTGATCTTTTAGGTGAAAAAGGCACAAATGAGCAATTTCTAACCATACAAAAATATCAAAACTACTGCTAAGAGAAAAATTAATTCACCAACTACTTGCTCATTAAAAGCCCCATTTTAACCTTAGAGACATACACTTGTATGCCATATAGATACACACACGTATATAAAAAATATAAATATATAAAGAGTTACAAATAACTATTTGTATATAAAATCCTTATATTTTTATATACTAGATTTTCAGAACAAGAGTTGCAGTTCTCATTAACCTGAACACTGTATCCTAAAGCATTCTCCAAAAACATGGACATACCTTGTGTTCTGCGCTGTAATTTGGACTGTCAGGTAACATACCCTGGTTTGGAAATGACGTACCAGTTTTGCAGCATTCTGTCAATCCGAATGCCAGCAGCTTAAAAGAGAAATGCTCTGAAAATGAATACAGAATGTCTGAATTGCTCCAGAAACTATCATTGCCATATTTCTGAGTGCCAGCACCCTTGACTGTTTTCAGGAGATTGGTATTTTCCTTTGTTAGGAGGGAAATAAGAGCAAAAGTTCCTTTCAGTCTTACATGGACACAGTTTGCTCTACTCCCTCAGAGCGAAGTACCAGCGAATAGGAATTCTTGGTTTTTGTTTTTCCTGTCTTGCTTCCTTACCGATTATGTAATAATATAGTTTAGCAAAACTCTGAGGACTGTTTAGAGTTACTCGCTTTCTCTAAAGCAAATAGCTAAACACTGGAGTTGATGCAAGCAAGGCACTTAGCATCTGAAAGAAGTGTTAACACTTTATTTACATTTAAATTAAAATGGACACTTATTTATGTGTTCTGGTTCTGAAAGGTGTGTGGTACATCTGCAGAGGCCTATTGTTTATTCATGCTGTAAATCCTTTGAAATGTGTTAAAATGCTTCCCACTCATTATAAAAATCCTGCCACCCATGGATTAGGGCTTTGATGTCACCAATCCTGCTTCAAAGGGTTCTTTCAATGCTATTAATCACAGTTTAGCCTCTGAAGATATAGCCAGAGAAAACATTTGGACATCTTGTGCTAGACTTGCTAAAACTTTGAAATATACAGAGTGTCTTGCATATGCACAGTCCCATATCACTTCCTCTCTCTTCTGTGAGCCTTTATTTTGAAAAGCTATTTTATGACGACTTTGGTTTTTCTGGAAATAAAGCAGAAGTTTAGGACATGTCATACTGTACCTTAAAAAAGGCACTCATGTCTTTCAAAAGCATAATATGTTTTTGACTTGAGTAGTTGAGTCAGTCTGTAGAAACCCCAAGAGACAAGAAGATCTGGGATTAAGCAGGCCTGTGTGTCAGAAGGTCAAAAAAGATACTATCTTATCATTTTAGCATCTCTTTCATTAGTTTGTGAGCTTAAGATGCTATCTAAACCCTTCAGGATCCACACAATTTCATAGAAACAAAATTATTTCTGTTGCCTTTTTTTTCCTTTAAATCTGAGTGAGTCACAGAAAAATTGATTGCTAGTGATTGAGCTGTATGTCTTTGTGCTGTCGTCGTTTTCATCAGCTCAGTAGCTAAGGTCAGTGACATGCCACCTTATCACTGGCTTTTTCCTCCCTTTTAAATCAACACTGCACTCTGTCATGCCAGTGCTGAATGCTCTGCGAGGCACAATTGGTAATGAGCTGGGTGTGGAAGCATGGTGGTGGGTGAGCCTATTTTTACCAGTGTTGTGCAAGCTGATTTCCCACCATATGGATTTTTCCCTGCTAAGCTTTTTAAATGGTTTTTGCAGTATGTGTTTCTTTGTCTTTAAACAGGTAACTTGGCACAGGCAAGAGCCAGAGTGACAGCGGCATCTAGGTCTTTGCCTCCACAGCTTAGTGCTGGGCGTATCAAGGTTAGTAGTGTTTCCTTTGAAGACAGCACTTGTTCATAAAATGTTACAGGGAGACTGTGGACATGATGCTTAGCTGATATAGCTGCATAGCGAGCCTCTTACATGAAAGAAAGTCTGGCATCATGTCAGAAAATATGTACCTTGGTTGGGAGCACTGTTTCCAGTTTTGGTGAGCATCCTATTGTGGAATCTAGGGAAGAATCAATTTATTACTGATTAATCTTTCGGCTTTTGGAGTGAAACCTCGGGTCCATTGTTATCAGTAGCAATACTCCTCTTGATTTCAGTGGGGTCAAGAATTTTCTCTGACAATTTTGGCCTAGAAAGAGATTTAATTAGGTAAAATTTGATTAATGAAAAGCAAAATACATTAACGATCTATTCCTCTTTTACTCAACCTACCAGTCAGAAACCGGAGGACATTTGTGACTGGTGGATGACCAGTAGAGAACCACTGGGCAAAACCACTATTCTCTATGGAGTACAAAGAACAGCTGTGGAATTTCTGTGGTGAAATGCAGCAGCATTTAAGTCTGTGACATAATTGTAAATGGATGGGATAGTTTTATGGCAGTTATAGGATGTGTTGCTAACTGAGTTCACTTAATCTGGGAGGAAAATTCCTGTATCTCAAGTTGACAGCATGTACCCCCCCCCCCCTTCACAGGTAGCCCTGTTACAGTATGACTGTGCTTAGCTGGATTTTTTTTTCCTTCAGAGCAAATAGAAATAGTTTTTAAAAGCAACAGTGGTAATAGCAACTGTTCAGAAGTCTGGGGTTTTTTATTCCACCTTTCCATTCCCTTCTATTATTGGGGAGCTCATGTTCAAATGTAGATACAGTAATTCATACATTGCCCAGATAGCTATATCCTTCAGTGTACCTGTAAATGCAGACTTGGCTTTAAGAGTTTTATTTCCTCTCCGGTGTAAACAATTTCAGTGCTGAAGGACAGATAATAGCCTGCCTGATTTTCTTGTGTTATGCACACATGGTCTTCCACATCTAGCTATACCCAGCATAAGCTTTCTAAGCATACTTTTTATTGATACAGCTGAATGGAACAGAGCAGTTCTCTTTTTAGATCTTTAATAAACACGGTCAGTTATACTAAATAGTGCTTAAATGGTTTTTATTCACCCTTTGAATTTTTAAAGAAGGAACTAAAAGGCATGCATAAGAAGTGCTGCTGGGCAGCACTGTTTAGAAAGTGTTAAATGAAATACTTTCTAGCTGGAAAAAGGCTTTATTTTAATTAGAAATTTTATGAAATTGTAACAACTTCAGGAAAAATATTTTAAATTACTATTTTACACTTTGAAAACAAAGAATCCACAAATGTCATCAAATGGTTTGGAAGTTTGGAATTTTTTATTTCCATTTTAACTTACGAGCTTTTTTGCTTAGTAGATGTGTTAGTTTTACAGTATTTTATACTCTACTGGCAGCAGGTTTGGTCAATATGTGAAAGTAATAATTTCCAGTGACCTCATAAGATGATGTGATGTCATACATCATTCTTTTAATATTATTTCAAAACTCTTATGAGCATTTTTTTTAGCGATGGAACATTTTTTCCTTTATAGGTCAAACTGTGTTTTCCTTTTTGGTTGTAATTATATAAATGTATATGATACATCACTGCTACTAACATGTAAAAATGTGACAAACGGTTGAAATGTTCTTCATTTCAGTTTAAAAAGAGTAGCTAGTGATTTAAAATGCAAGATTATATCATGACAGTCTTATTATGTTCTGTCACTTTCTGACAAGTCCATTGTGATAAAGCCTATGTATATGTGATTATTGTCCTACTGTAAAACTGCATAGCCCCATACACAACATTATATACACAACATTATAAATTAACTAGAGACAAAACTTTGGGAAATTTTACAGCAAAATCTCCCTAGCTTCAGTGTTTATCAGAACATTTCTATTGGAAATTTCAAATATTTCTATTCAAAAAGATTTTGAAATTCATCCTGGTCCATACAGCTCTTACAGTTGAATTCACAACTCCATCTATAGAAAGAGAACTCTCATGATGTTGTTTTTAGCCTGATTTTCTGAGAAAAAGTTTATTACCTCCTCCATTTATTACCTTATATGTCTTACCATCTGTCTTTCCCCCTCAAAAAACCTTTTCAACCCAGTAAGCTGTAGCAAACCATATTTGACAGAGTGGCAGTCTCAAAGATGGTAAGAGCCTACAAGTTTGGTGAAAATAAGCAGATGTGCAAAGGAGAGGCTTAGAGTACTGTATTACCCTAAGGCAGTACCATAAGCTCACCTTTTACTGGACGATGGTGATTCCAGATCTGCCTGAGAAGTCATCAGTACTGAAACTCAAGAAAAAATTCACTTGAAGCCTGTGCTTTCCTATACAGCCAAGAATCCAAGTTAGAAGCTCAAACTGGTTGAGCAGTTGGGCTTAGTATTGTGCTCTATTTGTTTTGTTGTCAGTTTAGTGTTCTTTGTGTTCTTTCTGTCTCTTAACACTAAATGTTACCCTTTATTCTGAACTTACTGTTGACACTCTTATTTCAGAGAGGAAAGACTATTTTCTCAACTCTCTCCTTAAGAGAGATAAGATAAAACAGAAATGCCACTTTCATACTGGGATGGGATGTTTACACAGAGGTTTGCACTAAGATGTTTCAGTTCTTTAAACTCACACCTTAATATATTGAAAACGTCTGCCATATGACCTAGGTAGCTGGATATAACTGGAGGGGGGTCTTTTTTCCCTGGCTTCAGTCAGCCAATAACGTAGTTACTCCTGGGCTCTTTTCCAGCTAGAATGGTGGCTGTATAGCGTTCTGGGGGAGGCCATAGTAAACTTCAAAGTTGTCCCTTCCTTAGTCATTATGGGCATTAGATGTGATTCTCGTTTACAGGTACACTATAACATCCTCTTAAAAGCTCTCTTCTGGATCATGGTGTGTCTGTCCAACCACTGTGTTTATCTAATGATGTACGTTAGCATCTTAGAGCCATCCGGAGCCTTGTTCTTGAATCTAATTTGTCTTGATCCCTACTGAAATGCAATGCATTCCCAGACTTCTATATGGGAAAACCAGTCATTAACAAAGTCTCCCTATCCTTTTTACAAACTGTCAGTATTCAGTAACGTGGTGCTGTTTTCTGCCTAACCTCTACTAGAGGCTTAGATGTCAGCGCTCAAAAAGTCTTGCCAAGATAGTTTTGAAACATTCCCTTATCCTTCCCCATGGCATCCCTGCTGTTCTGATTAGGCCATTGATGTTTACTTGATCATATGACCTCTCAAGATGTTTGATGTTATCTATGCTGATAAGGCATTTTTCCTGGGATATATTACAGAGTTTTCTGTATCTTTAAAACTGAACTCAAACTGCATCTTTTTTCCTCATGTATTTCCTCATGTATTGAGATGTATACTAATGCCTGTATACCACTTCAGGCAAGAATACAGATTACAAAACCATATCAAAATTTTTATGGTCACCCTTATTGAAATCTCTCTGCCTTTGCACCATCTGTATGCTGAATCTTTTCTTCACAAGTTTTTTCTTTTAACTTCTTTCCCAATACAAAATCCTTTTTCTTGATGTAATAGTACTTAGTGCTTCATTTCCTTTATATTTTCCATGCAGTCTCCTAAATATCTCCTGAAGGTAAGAGACACAGTTACTTTATTGAGAATGGTAATCTTTCAGCAGTTACACAAAGTGTTCAGAAGAGTGGTCTTAAGTCAGTGAGCTTTGGAAATGGTCATATGAAGCAAAGTCCAGGAAGTGTAGCGCAGGTGCTGACAACAGCATTATCTGGTTTATACAAATGCCACCTGGTCAGAGCAGATGGTAAACTGCCACAAAGCAAGTGAATGCTAAAATGTTGTTAATGCTCCATACAAACCGGATGCTGGTTGATTTTCTTTAATTTTGTTGAGCTGTGATACAGCAACACAATCTGCTTGTGATTGGTAACCATGGTTATACTCATTCATAAATAATGGTTTCATTTTGATAAGAACAGCTGTACTGACAATATAACAAAAATATACAAGGAGCAGTATGTTTGCTGGCCATGTACACCTCTAAAAATAACTCTGTGATCTATGAAAAAAATGCTGAGAAAGTGGTATCTGAAGCTATGGCAGCTCAGCAGAATGAGACTGCTGAAATTCTCAGCATCAAAATGGTGATTTAGAGTAATTAATAGTAACCACAACAGCAGATAGGAAAAGTCAGATGTTCTGAAAGTCGTGCATTACGTACTCTGTTTGTTGCTTGTTATCTGACAATGACATTTTTTTCCGTATGTTGCCAAAATGAGACAGCTTTTTGATAATTTACTTCCTGGTCATTATAAAAATGGTAACTCTTCTTATACAGAAAATAAAACCTGGTGGAATTCATTGTAGTGGTGACAAGAGGAACGCTTTTTAGAAGTCAGCTCATGAGGTATGACATCTTGACGGCTGCTTCATTGGCCTCGTGGTGTCTTATCATGACAAAAGTGTGAAAATACCCCCAAGCTGATCAGAAGAGCCTAGTAGCCTGGGAAGATTTACTAAATGAATTCATTAAGAGGGGTATAACATGTAGGAATGCAAGATGAAGTAATATTTCTTGTTTTGAGGAGTCCGGGAAACCAAGCTACTTAGACAAGTGCTATTTATTGCTACTTGGGTCAGAGAAATGTCAGCCCTACTTCAGAATGCCAGGTGGGACTCTAGAAATTGCCTATGTGTTTATATCCTGTATCACTAGCTGCCTTACGTAACAGTTGCACTTACAGGTATATCCCCATGAGTGGCTGGAGGAAACACAGTATTAAACAGAATAACAGCTTAACATTACTGTTTCCTTGATGAAATGTTAATTGAGGCATGTAAATTTACAGAGAAAAAAGGGCATGGCGTGCAATTTTTTATGCAGGGTTACTACCTGACTTGTCTCAAAGCACATTATGAAATGAAAAAGGGACACTGCTGACCGTGACAGCCATGATATGCTCTCTTATAGCTCACAAACTTTACCCTGGCGAGTAAGTGCTAATGAAAGAAATGCTGCTGACTGGGTGGCTCAGTTTGTACTGTACATTTCCCAATGGTGCTAGGAAATCTTCAGGTATGGAAAAGACATTTGACAGATTAGGGCCTAAAGAACTGTTTCCCATAGATGCCACACTAGGCTTCATTGTCCTTTTCATGAGTTGGGGCATAAAGTGAGGGAAATGCTTTCAGGTACAGTGTGGAACTAAGGAATGGATTTCATCGTTTTTTATTTTCTTCTTTCAAAACTTTTACCAGGAGGGTTCTTTGAGTGTGTATGTCTGTTCAATCCTTGTTTACAGACAGCAAAGAAGTAATTAACGGATACAGAAGACTTACACATTTTAAATAAATTAGTGAATGAATTTCTGTTATTGCACTTTTTCATTTTTACTTTCTCTGTTAACAATATGATAATAGGCCAGTTCACTTCTAAGTCAGAAAGCAGTGTTCACATGAGGGATGCTAGCAATGGTTAAAGAAGCAGCCAACATGCATTTCCCTTGCTCACTCTCTTGTCTAAAGGTACAGAAGACATAAGAGGCCGAGCTTAGTTTAGTAAATCCAATTTAAGAGAATCTGTGAATCTTGGCAGCGTTAACCTACTAACATTTGAGAGATTCAGATCAAAAGTCTTAACAGCTGGATCTCTAAATGCAGGCCAGGCTGGCATGATACAAAAACAAGCCCAACCCAGGGCTGATTCATATCCAGATCCCTCTGCATCAGAAGCATCAGTACTCAGAGGGGCAAAGTTAGTGATTTTGAAACTTTCCTGCCAATAAGACCACTACTGAAATTTTGTAGCTTTTGAAGCTTTTAGAGCACTTACACTGATTTCAGTAGGAGCTATATGTCCTGCACCTCTTAGAAAGCTGGCCTTCCTACCTGCAATAAAGTGCTGCTAAAGTACTTACACCTGAAGGAATGATCATAATGAAAATTGAATCGAACTTTCAGATCTGGGGGTGGGGATGGTCAGTAATTTTGGTAGAATAGCTCTAACATCTGAGTTTTGTCTTCCAGGTTGACACGATGGAGGTGATGCGACACCCTGAGGAAACAACTAACATGAAGCGACAAACTATGGCTTCCTATTTTAGGGTATAAAACTTAAATTGCAAGCAAACATTTGGGTGTTTAGAACACTAGATATATCTAAAATATTTGTGGGGTAGTGGGATCAAAGAAAATAATAAGAGAATATCTTCCTTCTGTTTTGAGACCGCTGTAGACCGTAAGTTTTTCTTTCTCACCTTTCGTTTGTGTGTGCTAATACTTTCTAGTGGCAAAAGTACACTGATAACAGGATCTACAGCATAGACTCTTTCCACCTAAAATGCTGGTGGTCTAGAAATAGACCTTTTATGAAAAGAGAACTGATTTTAGGCAAATAAAATACGGCACTTACTAAGGCCTTGATACTTTCTCACAAGGTCAAGCCTACCTACTTTAGAAGACTGAGATTCATTATTTGTGATAATAAGTAAAAACAATCCATCTTTGTAAGCACTGTTATAAATTGGAGACGTCATTCCATCAGTAGTAATTCTGTGCTATGGTAATGTATATAATACATATGTGTTTAAATCGAACAGCTATGAAAAAGGCATTGAGACCGTTGGAATTGGTAGGTTATAGTCAGGACACCCTCATGCCAATCCAAAGCTGCTGTTCATTGGTTTTTTTCTTCTGGTTTTTTTCTTCTTCTAGAACAGGAAAGTTTAAGGAAGTCAGTCCTCGACCTGCAACAGTACTGTGCAGAATGGAGTAGGTGCACAGTGCTGTGCTGGCCAGTAGGGATCAAAGCTTCATGTCACGTGGGAATGCCTACTTTCTTATGAACTAGTGTAAGGAAAGGCATAGAGGCAGCTGCTGTGACTGAGTGCTTGCAAAGAGTTACACAGATGTTACCTAGGTAGGAATTGTTTAAAAAAAAAAAATTAATGCAAGAGGGAGGTGAGTCTGAAAGTACATCATATAGCCGCAGATTACAACCATGTGATCACACCCACATCCAGTCCGCTTGGATGTGTGTGATTTTGAGACTGAGTGTATTTGCAACAAATACTGATCATGCAGGAAGGGGTAGTGAGGTGAGGATGAAGCAGAAATATCAATATTTAGAGAAGTCACTGGAAAAGCAGGATATGTAAGACTTAATCATACTATTTTCATTTCAGTGCAAAATGGAAGGGGATAAATTATTTTCCAAGTCCAGGGATAGAAAGGGCAGGAAAGAATGGGCCTGCGTTTCGGCAGGAAGATGCAGTTTAGATGTTAAGAACATTATGAATAGCCATGACAATATGGCACTGTGGTAGGTTGCCTAGGGAGATTGTGCAGTCTATATCCTTGGTGATTCTGAGAAACAGAGTAGACAGAGACGGGCCTGAAAGGGGACAGATACATCCAGTGCTCTCTTTGGGGAGAGAACTGAACTGATGACTTCTTGCAGCTTCTTCCCTGTGATTTTCTGTGATTGTTTGATTAACTGTAAAGCTTGTTTTCCTGCTGGGGATATTGTTTGGCCAAATGTACCTAGAGTAGTTTTTCAATTAGGACGTTTGCAATTGAAATTTTTTTAATTTGGGCCCTTCTTTACAATGGAAAAATGATGTAAGGAGAGAGGAAGGAAGAGAGGGAAGAAGTAACAACTGGAAGCATAATTTTTTTTTGACTGTTGAAAATTTAATAGATTCTAGTTGTAGGCAAACGCTTAAAAAGCATAACGTCAGTGCAGATTAAAAATTACGCAATTAAAATGTTACAAAAAAGAAGAGTTTTAGAACTCCTTGTGATATATTCAAGCATTACATGCTATTTACAAATACGCCTTTCCTGCTTAAATAGTTGTATTACGATTATTGTGTCAAATCTGTGTATCTTTTTTTCCCTCACTAGTATTCCCTCATGGATCTTTTATCCAAAATGGTTGTTGGACAGCCCCACTTTATCCGCTGCATTAAACCTAATGATGATCGAGAAGCACTGGCGTTCTCTCATAAGAGAGTTCTAGTGCAGCTAAGATACACAGGGATTCTAGAAACTGTCAAAATACGTCAACAAGGGTATTCTCATCGCATCCTCTTTGAAGAGTTTGTGAAAAGGTAAGACTGTTCTCTTCTGAAACATGGCTATCATTTTAAAATTCCTTCAATAAAATAAATTGTATGCTTAGATGCAGAAAATTCTACAGACATTGGTTATTGTACATGTATGGCCTGGTCCTGCTAATGAGAGCAGTGACTATCAGAGGTAAATGCTGCAGGCATTATCAGAGCTCTCATGAAGAAAAGTCAGTGCGAGACCAGCAGTGAGCCCTTAGTATTCAGTAGCAAGCCTGTCCTCATAATGTATGTTGATAGAGGAAACATATGGAAATGTGCATCATGGTTAGATAATATAAAGACTTGAAAGGTCAGTGAAGAATATGCATGATTAAAAATGAACTAATGCAAAAGCTTTATAAAAAAATTTTTCGGAGGGTGTTAATCTCAAGCTAGAGAACTTTAATTAGATCAGTCAATAAAGCACCAGTAGCTAAGAAGAAATTTCATCAATTTTGATTTCAGAGATAGCACGTTTTAAAAAAGGATTTTAGAATATGTTTGTGAATAGGGCATCAAATTTGATTTGTTACAGACTTCAGTGTGTAGAAAAGCCGAACTGGTGAAATATAAGGCATGAATTCAAAACTGTTGTTGTGCCAACGTGATTCCCTATGCAGAGACTGTTCACATAAAAATGTTAGCCTTCCCCCCATTTTCGGGCCCCTTTTTTCCGCACCTTTACCCTCTCTTCTCCCCTCTTTCCCCTGTGTTTCCACCCCCTTTCCCCTCATTCTCTCCCATTCCCCGCTGTTCCCAGCTGACCAGCTGGAGAGCAGCTGGAAAGAGCAGAGAAGGACCTCGGGGTCCTTAGTGGACACCGAGTTGGCCATGGCCTATTAATGCAGCCTCATGGCAAAGGTGGCCAGTGGTATCCTGGGTTGCATCAGGAAGAGCATTGCCAGCAAGTCGAAGGAGGTGATCCTTCCCCTCTACTCAGCCCTGGTGAGGCCACACTTGGGGTGCTGTGTCCAGCATTGGGCTTCCCAGTACAAGAGAGGCATGGAGCTACTAGAGCGAGTCCAGTGAAGGGTCACTAAGATGATGAAGGGACTGGGGCATGTCTCCTATGAGGAAAGACTGAGAGGGCTTATCAGTGTTTATGAATATCTCATGGGAGGGTGTGAGGAAGACAGGGCCATGCTCTTCTCAGTGGTGCCCAGCATCGGGACAAGAGACAGTAGGCGCAAACTGAAATACAGTAAATTCCATCTGAACATACAAAGACGCTTTGCTGTGAGGTTACTGTGAGGGTGACTGAGCGCTGGAACAGGTTGCCAGGGAGGTTGTGGAGTCTCCTTCCTTGGAGGTATTCAGAACCCAGCAGGACACGGTCCTGGGCAATCTGCTCTAGGTGACTCTGCTTGAGCAGGAGAGTTGGACTGGATCATCTCCAGAGGTCCCTTCCAACCTCAACCAGCCTGTGATTCTGTGATGTTATAAATTTGATTAAAGAAATGCTATAGTCCGTACGATGCCAGTTTGTTTAGATAATCGTTAGGGCGTCTTCTAGATTGAAGATTTATTTGTCAGTCAGATCAACTACTCAGCAGTAGTAGCGAGTATTGAATGGCTACATCAGGAACTTAGCGATACCTTCTGGATTGGAGGTTGCTCATCTAGACAATACAGAGTTAATGAATTCATGGTAAGTTAACCAATCCAAAAAAAATCATTCACGTGGTGTTAGGGGGAAGGAGCTGAGCATTTTTTTGAGAAGGAAATGACAAAAGCCTTTCTAAAAACTCAGAGATTGGCTAAATTTACTTGTGGGCAAGTAAGTCATTTTGACTTAGAAGTATATCTGTGATTGCTGTATTGAGAGATGGTGAACAATAAATCATAGTTTAATCAAGTAATTATGAAAAGTCATGATTTTTTTCTTGTAATATTTGTAATGTATTAATATGCCAAATGAATATGTAATAGGAAAACACAAGAGATGTATATTCCACGAAGGAAAAGCAACTTTTTCTTTTGTCCATCCAAGCAATTTAATTTTTGGACGTGATTTCCCTCCCAACCCTTCATTTGTGTGTAACATGACTAATTGTAGTAAGGTCATACTATTTTAAAGCAGATTTAACAAAGAGATTAATTTTTTGTGATCGCTAACAATCTTCCCAACATCCTGAAGAGGCTGGAGTCAGAATTGTTAACCTTAACTTTTATCCAGTTTACACATAGGTGAACTAAGATTATCTCAATTGAAATTAGTGTAAATTGAGAGCAGATTAGGCCTCCTCTTGTCAATAGATTCTTTTCATTTAAAAGTACACTGAATTAAAGAATAACCTTGAAGCAATGGTAATAAAAGCAGTGCTGACTGAGATTTCCATCCTTGCAGATAAAGGCAAGTTGTGTTTAACATCTTGTCAGATACTCCCCAAGTTTTTAGTCCAGCCTGATATACTTACTTTGGGAAAGAAAGTAAACATTGAAAGGGAAGTGGGGGGAGATTCAGCAATTTGCCCAGCAGCATAGAGACTTCCTGGCTGAGTTCAAAACATGAATGGGAAGGAGAGGGGACCTTGTTGCTCCTTTCCTCAGCTCATACTTTATTTTAAACAACTTCTCTTCTGTTCTGCTCTTGAAAAATCATGAACAGTGTTTAAAATAGTTATCAGTGGAACAGGAAACATTTACCTTCAGCTTACACCAATGACTAGTCAAGTGTTTTTAGGCACTAAGCAGTTGAATACATAAAAACGTTTGAGAAAACAGGTCAAATGCTAAACAGATTGGCACGTCTTTGTTCATAATCAAAAAGACATTAGGCAAGTATGAACAAGAGTTTCAAAATGTCAGTAAATCTGAGCATATCAAAGATTTTCTAAGCCAGCAAATTAATTGGTATTTTGATCCTTTTGAGTAACTTAACAACAAAATGGATGAGCCAGCACTTTTTCTCCCTTGATGTTATTAAACAAATAGGTGTGCTTCTTATCTGCCTGTTCAATAATGCTGTTTTGTAAACTCTTAGCAGGAAATATGAGGACAAAACAATCAAAGGCAGGGAGCAGAGCCATTCAGGGTTTATCACGTGGGAGGTAAACAAAAGATAAAGCTCTGAGTCTTCACTGTTACTCTTCACTGTCTTCTGTTTTCATGCAAAACAGATTATTTCACAGTGTTGCAAACCTAAAAGTTAGTAAAAAAACCAGATGGTCAGGAGAGGACTTAATTGTAGCTCATTCACACACTGTTTCTTTAACCAAGGATAAAACCATCTGTTTTTTAATACATTTTTTATGAATTTTATTTTTTTTATATATACACACATACATACACATATAGGTATGTGTATATATGTATAAACCTTCTTAAGTAGGAAAAGGTAGTCCACAGCCCCTGTAAACGCTGTTAGCCCTATCAAGTCGCAGGCACTTTGTCTCACGCTCCCTGCATACGGTGTGCATGTTTTACCATGTTTGCTGTGAAGCAGTGTGGCCCCTTTCCTCAGAGGCTGGAATCCCAGGTTTCAGATAGAGTTTATTAATCTGATCTGGCAACCAGGTGTGCTCAGCATGTGGGGCCATGTAGTGACCGCGCACTGTACAGCAGCTAAGGGAGGTGTGCTGGCGACCTACTCTAAAAGCTCCATTAGATGGGACACTCTACGCTGTATCCAAGTGCCCAGGCCCCAGGAACCTCGCATGGTATGGTGTGGTGCGTAGGTGTGCCCTCATCTGTGACCCCAGATGTAAACATTTTTCATGTAGTCTGGCATATACTGTGTCACATGTTGAAAGATAAGAGACTTGAGAGTCTGGTGGTACTAAATGCTATCAGGATTCAGGTACCTCATCAGCACGCAGGAATGTGTTGAGAAATTTTGTACAACAAGTTTCATAAAAGGATTGTCATTTTTTCACTTTCTTTTTACCTCTTCTCTGCCAGCCTGTGTTCTGCGTTACAGTTTCGTACTGCAACAGTGGTAGATTCCCTTTTCCTATGAACACTGTGTCCTCTGCAATAGCCTGGTGATGCTATTCTGATTGTACAGTGATGGCAAAACCAATGATATTATTGCAATGGTGATCGTAACTGAGGTAGGGTCTGCTTCTTTGATCTCACAGTGCAAGTTTGCATAAGGACCCTGTTGGACAACTGAAGTTTATTCTCTAAGCCCTCAGTGTTTTAGTTCTTCCTGGCCATCTAAGGCCTCATTGACTTAATGAGTCACGTTCTGTGTTGAGTGGATCTAGGATCAAACACTGGTGAGGTACTGCAAAATTCTGGGAAACATATTACCTCATACCGTGCTTTCTTCTGATCCCCCAAATTTAGTGGTGATAGACTTGTTTATTATTCAAAACCAAGGGGATACGAAATTAAATTAGAAGTCAACAAATTGATTACAGAGGAAAGGAAATGCTTACTCTTAAAATAAAGATTCTTAATGCGTGCTTACTTTTAACATTGCGCTATACTAACAGCCCCAAGTGATTTATGGGAACAATATTTTGACATTCCCCAATACTAAAATTGTAGTGTAACCCACAGAAGTGTTTGCTACTTGTTGCAGTGGGTTTAAGATTTCACCGGATCAGTGTAATGTTCCTGTAGACTTTAAATATGAGGAACTACTGTGTCTTCCACATCTACTGTTTAGACGCTTGTCATTCATATAACACTGGTAAACAGTTGCAAGATGGAGAAGATATGAAATCTCTAGGAGTTTAAAATCTGACAGTCACTTGTGAATTGTATACAGATTAAGCCTTTCTGGGAGTATTTTTGTGATTCTATGTTTGTCTGATGATTTAAAGCATAAGTATTAGGTGTTTTTTAGAGAATTCCAAGAGTGGGATATCTTAGATGTTTTTCCATTTACATTTTTCAACTATTCTCTTGTTATCAAGTCAAATTTCATTAGCTGTATGAATTCAGCTGTACAAGTTTCTGAAAGAGTTTAAAAAAAAAAAGCAGCCAGTACAAGTTAGGAATTTCTGGAAGTTATTTAATTGCTTTTCCCATGCACAGAAGTGGAATTTTTA